AAAATAAGCCCCTAAAGGTGTGTTTGAAGTGATTTTTTAAAAGTACTTTTAAGAATTATTTCTCATAAGTACTTAAAAAAAAATAATGTTTGAAACCGTCTCACTATTACCTCTACCACCGCCGAGGCCACCGCCGCCACTGCTAGTTTCACCGCCATCACCACCGTTACGGTCATTGTCACTCACCACAACCATCACCGTCTTCTACCATTACCACCACTATCGCCCACCACCTCTCACCCCCATTACAACCGATGCATAAATTCATTTATTTCTCCTTTATGTTTGTAATTTAATTTTAGATATTAATACAAATATGTTTATTATTTATTACTTTATACCTTTAAGCACAGACAATAACTAGTCTAATTGCACGAGAAGAATGGAGAGTTTATATGGTTACAGATTTTCTTTATATTAGCATAAAAAGGTTAAGAAAACTAACAAACTATAATGGCTGAAAATATAATGGTAATCTATTCATAGCTTCTATTCAAAGCCCAGTTTATTTCCAGAAGAAAGGAAAGGATAAGAGACCTAGATAATGGCAGTTCTCATGACTACGCCTGTCAAGTGATTGAATTTTGAACGGATTTCATCCTAGCCCAATTCGCATTGAAATCTTTGATTTAAATTTGGTACAATTATTTGACAGATTTTATTTTCGCAACTCATATCCGAATTCATTAAAAATAAAAAATCAGATCTGAATAAATTAGTTGGAAATGAATTTTAGCAAATTAAATCCTAGCAAACACTCATCTAAGTTCATCATAATTTATGCATTATAATTTAGATCAGATCAGATCACTATCAGATTGGATATTAGTATATTCTAATCCAAATTCATTAAACATGATATAAATATAACGGATTTGAATAATCGATTAAAAAAAAAACCAACTAACTGCCCAATTAATCAAACTTAGGTGTGGATTAAAATCCGACCCAGAGGCCAACCCATGACTTTCCATGCTTTAAAAAGTAGGAAAGAGAGTGAACTTTTTGTCCTGGGGCTACCCTAGTGCCTATGAATGGGGAGTGCATAGAATCCTGCACTGGTAGAAAGCAAAGTAAGTCTAAATTAATCAAAAGCAACAAATGGTGAAAAAGATTGGGTTAGGTGAGTGGGTATTGTAGAGTGTAGATCCCCTAATGGTAGGCAGCTTTTCTTTTTTGTTTTCTTTTTCTATTGTGGTGAGTGCTATCCAAAGACCAACTTTAAAAAGTGTGAGAAAGTAGAATCTTGAGAGGAAAAACTTTGTTTTCACATCTTTTAATAGTGAAGAAATATCTTTTCTTATATTTTAAAAAATATGTGTATAATTGAGCAAAGGGTTTGGGTGGAGAAGCGTTGAAATTAGGGATGACAGTAGATCAAAAAAAAATTAGTATTCGTTCAAATTTGTCTCGTTTGTACCGGGGATAGACTATATGTATTAGACGATAGATGTATACGAAAATACCCGTATAAACTCGTACAAAAATAAAGACAGGAATAGACTTACCCTTACTCCCGTCCTGCCCCCTCCCTGTCCCCGTCCTCGTCCCCGTTACCCGTTATATATATATATATATAGTGGATATCATTCATTTGTGATGGTGACAAGTTTAGATCATCAACCACTAAAGTGTACCGAAATATTTTAGTAAAGCATTTCCAAGGTGAGAATGTTTGAAATAAACATTGTTCTAGCCTTCAACCAGCTGGCTGCTACCTTCAAAAGACAAACTATATGTTTTAGAGTTGTTATAGATATTTGTGGTGTTCTGCAAGTTATGTGGGCAAACAACTAGGGGTCGTCAAATGCATTAATGATTATGCTTAGCTTGGGCTTAGGCGGGTATGGGGGAAGCGGGAACGGGGACGGAGATTATAAATTTACTCGCGGACGATGATAAGAATGAAAATTATACCCGTTAGCGGGGGTGGACCAGGGATAGACATTGAATTTTTTCGGTCCATTGACATCCCTAGTTGAAATGCTGTGGTTCTTGAGGGGGTTGACATGGACAAGTAAGCTATCTATACAAATGGAAACTCATTATTCATAATACAGTGGCTTTAATTTCTCATATACTTGTTTATATCAATACTTGCTAGATTCAAGAAGGAAACTAAGCTATCCACTCATTATTCATAATAGAGTGGCTTTCTCCCAGGCATTGACGTTTGTATTCCCCCACAAAAAAGAAGGGAAAAAAAAAGTAGTACTAGTTCAAGTTCCATCAAACACATGACCACATCCTTAATCAACCAAAAATACCTTAATCATTGCCATGACATTTGCACTAAAAAAAACTCTTTAAGATTTGGAATTTATGTGCTCTCTTTAGATTTCTCCCCAAGTTGTTGCACCATTAGGATTGCAACTTGAGCTGGTTGGAGTTATAAAACTCTTAACCTGAACCCGACCTCAATCAGAATACTACCCGCTCAGGCTCGGATTGAACTCTTGGTTAAGCCCAAGTTATTAAATCACATTTAATTTTTGGGGTTAAATTCGGGTTCCTAAATGTAAATACATTTACCTTTTTTATTAAACTCAAATAGACCTAATAAAAACCAAGCTCATTTTAAAGACACAAGTCACATCGAGTTTGTCTTCTTTATATACAAGAGGAGGGAGAAAATTTTGACCCAAACCCAACCCAAATTTTAAAAAATTCAACCTAAATACTAATTTTTTTCGTGCTAGGTTCGAGTTTAGTTCAAGTTAACCCTCCCAAGTTACACCCCTATGCACCATACAGCTTCACCTATAACATAGTGAACTCAGAAAGTTTGGCTGTTGATAAGTTTTATTAGCATGGGGATTTTAGTCTTCATGTGCTGAGTTCATGTTTTATATTACCTTGCACTCCCAATCTAGACTCTAGACCATAAGCTACCACTTGTGGGCCTATTTTACACAAAGAGACACAGAAAATTGGCACTAGTTGTCTAAAATATTGCTTATCCAATTACTTCTCAATCCATTACATTCTGTGCTCTATATTCACAATTAAGTTGCACTGCATAGAAACATCAGTAGCCATGATATGAACAAACTCCAGAACTGTTAGCAAGATGGTAACTAAAGATCTAAGAGCCTGTGTCAGAGAACCCTTGGTTGAAAATCAAGGGAAATGCAGAAGGTCCCTTATCTATCTATACTACTAATAAATCTATATCTATATCTATACTACTAATAAAAGCATACTATCAAGAAAAACTTTTGATTGACTACTTTAACCCAATATATAAAAACAATACTAACCCTACTTAATTTAGAACTCATATTAATAAGACTTGATTGATGATAAACTTTTAATTAGACAACTTTACTCTCACAATACTAATATTATTAATATGAAATTCATATCAATAAAATTTTATTAATATTACACATATTCAAACTTTTCATATTCTTTCTTTTAAAAGACAAAAATTAATTATTAAAATAATTAAATTTATTTTACTCATGTCTATATATTTTCATTAGTTGATGACAAGTTTCTAAATTTTCAAATAAAATTGCATAAATGCACTACAGTCTTATTTAATATAAGATTATTTTAATATAATTTGAACAATATTATCAAACCCGAACTTTTCATTTTCTTCTCTTTTATGTTTTAATTTTAATAAATCCTCTTTAATTATGTTTATTGGCAATACTATAAACCATTTTATTTGTATCGATTAGCAATGGTACAAATATGTTCAGTCTCACATTAAATTACTTATCACAACTTAACTTTATAAATTTTTTCAACCAATTTTTTATAATTAAATGACCATCATAACTTAAAATAGTTTGCTTCCATATTTTTCATAATTTAATAAATGTCTGTGATATTTTTTAGTTATATATGCCCACATACTATATATTTGTACCATTACTATGATGTTGCAAATAAAATTAATCTAAATAATTAACTTCCTGTGAAAAGTTCTAAACTTTAAGTGTAAAGGTTTACAAGAATGTAATTCATCAAAACTTACGAGAAAATAAAACAATAAAAATTAATATTCGCTCTGCAAATATGTAGTGTTATGGCCATTACAAATTTCACAAATTATATAATAGGAATATTCAAAGGGTTATATTTATTAGTAGGTATTTGCTATTATATTTATTTAATTATTTCAAAAACAAAACCATAACTTAAAAAACCCGCGCGCAAAGCACATATGCACGATCTAGTATCATATAAAAGTGTCTTCTTGATAACTCTACTTCCTCAACTTTTGGTATGAGTTTGGAACAATTGCATAAATTTTATAAGCAGTGAGAAGGTTTTGAAAAATACATCAAACTTCAAGAAAACTGATGCAAAATTGTGGCTTCTGAGCATGTGAAGCATAATAAGGCTTGGGTAATGGCACATGGTGTGTGATAATTTATCCATCGATAAAAAGCATTATTAGGTCATCAAGGTCCGGCATAGTAGTGCACCAAATGGAATTTTTTGCCTGATTATTGCCTAAAACATATCCCCCAATGAGCAAACATGTGTACACGTTCAGTAGAACAAAAAGGAACACAAATCAATGTGATGCAACTACAATTATTCCGATATGATTAAAGATTAATAGCAAAGAAAATGATTCATGCCCTAAGGAATTGATGGACACAACGATCACTACACTGAATGACAGTGTGTCCTTCGCATGACCTGCAGGTAAGATGGAAAGTAAAATCTGTAACAGTTCCATTAAGTTCACTGAGGACTTTTTTCCTCTCCTAATGCCAGGAACAAGGCTTTTAAAAGATCTCCATTCAAGAACCTGGTTACAAATGATGGATCATCTCCTCTTTTTCTTTCATTCTTTCTTTAATTCTTTTAAAATTATATATGCACCTATCACCACCTTTGATGATGAGGACATTTCAAGGTTTTAAGCCCGGTAAATAACTAGCGCTAATAAAATTCTACTAAATGTATGAGCTAAACACCAATCAGATGATTTTAGGACATTAAATTAGAGTATACGACGGCAATATTATCAGGTGGAAAAAATTGGGTACTCAATGCAAATTTAGTCATCAGAATCTAATCTGCATTATCAGATTAGTACAATATTCTAAAAAGATTATCACTCGTAAATTAAGCAATTTTAGTTGAAACCTTTTATTCTTTCTTGTAACAGGAGAATATTCATAAAACATAAGAAAGAATAACATTAACTTACATATTTGACCTCAATAAAGGCCCAAAATCTTCCACCAAAGAGCTCCAACCAATGCCCATATCACAATGTTAATAAGAGCCATTACAATTCCCAGTTTGAAAACATCAGGAAGTTCTACATAACCAGCTGTCAAACAAAACAAAACAAAAATATTTATCGATTCTATCCCCAGAAAATGTAGTTTTGATTGAAACAAAATCTGATATCTGAGGTTTAGAAGAAACAAGGAAAATTAAACAATAAAAAAACAGAAATCTGGAATACATGGTAATAGTTTAATCACATTCCAAATTGTGATGGAAAATGATAAGAAGGCAAACACAATCTACAGGTTCAACGGAAATCTGAAAACCTAACCCAAAAACAGACTTTCATAACAGATAAATCTAGTAAACAAGTGTCTTTTCAACTAATTTTGTCAATTAACACAGAACCTATAGAAGACGTCTCTAATTCCACATATCTGGTAGCTATATACAAACTGAAACAGTCATGCATGATCCCGTGAGACCATTCCATATTGTTTTGCAATGGGTTCATTTTGTGTTCTCACAGCTATGCTTTGCTGCAAGTTGGTAAGTTTTGTATTCATAAAAAAAAAAAGGAAACTATTCTTTTTTCCCTTTTCTTGGAATCTCTCAGCTCTAAATGGCTCTTTTCAGTGTAGACCCATTAAAAAAAATATGCGAGTCAAATGAATAATAAAATAAATGAAATGAACAAAAAAACAAATGTTTCATGAAGAAGGAAAATAGTGTACCTCCATAGTATACAGCAGCCTGACCACTGCTATAATGTGTTAATGCACCAAACAAGTTGGTACTGTATCCCAAAGCCAGCGCTGCCAACAAACCAGGCACTTTAGATGCCAGGTGCATCGCAAGAAATGCTGAGTACAGAGCTCCAACATGGGCAGTTTGACTTGCAAATAGATAGTGGATAAAGAAATATGCTGCCTGAAGGATAACAAATGCAGTATGCCAGCCCAGTGAAAGGGATTTAAGAGAATTGGCCACACTGTTAGACATCCAGGGTACAATCCCAAGGGCGTTCAGTTGGCCTGCCATGCCCACTAGAACCCCAAACCAAGCCAGGGTATCCCATGCTGACTTTTCACTTAAGCAATCATCCCAATCAAGCACTCCCAACAGCAGAAGTATTGACAATCCCAGCATTGCTGCAACAACACTTGCCATTCCAAGAGCCTCTCTGCACACATATCAACTTCTTTCAGCATTCTACAACCACAACATAATATACAGATCACCAAAGAAAAGACAGCATTTATTGCATCGACTTTTGTTACAGGATTAAAATAAAAGAAAGGCATAATAATAGCTCTTCGGTAACAGATACACAGGATTCATTCATTGGAAGAAAGGAATACAATTGAAGATTTTCCAAAAAATAGAAGGGTAAAGTTTAATAAGGGGGAAGGAAAAGGGAAAAAAAGGAAGCAAGCAGAGAAAGAAGACACCCCACAAAAGTATACGATGAAAAAAACACACTGAACTTCTTGTGGCTCAATACCAACATCTGTTTCCTAGTTTTGTTGACCACAGAGCTAGGGGTAAGCAGCAGTTTAAGTTCAATGTTACCTGGACTATGAATCGCTTTGGTATGTAATACGGGTACGGTATGCAGTACGGCACTTTCTTAGGTAACCGGTACGATGCGAGTAGGCTTAGCCAGTGTGCTATTTTAAGTCGTAATTTATTTTGGAACTCTTATCTAAATCGTTTTTACCAATATACAACATTACATATAATAGAAAATCCATAGTCACTAAATCAGTTACCATTTATATAACATTTGTGCTCGATTTTCTATTATCTAAAATAATATATAATTATAAATCTACATTCACATAGTTAATTAATATTTATTTTATATTTGTGCTACTAGTACAATTTGGAATTGTACATTTTAGTGATCTGAATCTCGAATCTACCCCATTTGGGATCGATGTATTGTATGCAAATTGTGGATCGTCAAGAGTTTAGTAAATTTTGGTAACTATGAGTTTAACCAAGTTTATTACTTCTCTGCTTAGTTTCAAATAAAAGATATTAGCTGCATCATGCCACATGAAACCTTTAGCATTGGCTTTCTTAAGACACTTTAAGCAAGGAATTTCACTTGGTTGACATCACTTTACCCTTCTACTAAAATAAGATAGATACAAGGAGTCAAGGACACCAATATCCTTACAGCTCCCACCAGTATCTATTAACCAAGACTACCATGGAAACAATAACCGGATATGATCATTAAACGTTCCAAAATGGACAAATTTGATTGATGACTGGCTAGAATTAGGACTCCTCCTGGGCCACGTTCAGGGCCTAAGATCAGGCCTGCCCATATGAATTGCTCATAGAATGCCCACTAATGCAAGCTTGGAATAAACGGTGGTCAGTACCTTTATATAGTGTAATGAGTACTCACACGCGATACATGCTAAGTGAACACAAGTCCATGCCTAGGTGCAGCTAGCCAAGTCCATGAGAAGGCTTGTTGTCTTAGCAAGATAGAATTTTTGTCTTAGGCATCAGACCAATAACCTTAACCTAATCTTAGCCATCGAGAATTCTTGAACCTTAATCCCAAATATATGGTAAAGGAGACACCTGAAGTTTCATTCAGCGTATAGTTGTTAGTGACACCTTGGGCCAACTCAGCCCACCATGTGCGCACAAGGTTGCCATTAGTGCAATGTTACTAGGAGACCACATGCCTCATAAACATATGACAATTTGGAAGGGGTCCATCCCGTCATTGAGCACTAGGTCAATTTGTCATGTCAACAATAAGTAAATCAGCCAAATCAAAGTAGATGTTTAGAAGACCTAAAAACCATGGTCAGGTAAGAATAAGTTCAAAGTTTTCACTATTTGAGAGACCTTCTTCCCACACAGCAGTTTTCCAGTGTTCTAAGAAACTTGCCTTTTTGAACCAAGATTAAAACCTTAAGTTGGTTACTACCCAAATCGGTTCAATCGACAAATAAGCAAACAAGACAACTAGACCTCCAATCAACCATCTCAAAGTGAGAAGTAAGATATCAAGTATCCATGAAATACTTACTTTGGTTGAAAAAATAAAAAGAGAGGGAGATAAATATCACTGCATTACAGGATAAATGACCACCATGTCAAAATTAACTCATCTTTGTACTTGAAAGATTTAATGAAAATGAAGTAGCAACGTTACAAGGATTGATAAGGTATTTACAATTGCTCATCAAAAAGATAAGTGAGTTAGTATGGTAAAAAAGAAAATCTTGTGCATACCCAGAGATCCACAATGCCACTGTCACAAGCATGGTACCAACCATCACCCATTCATCCCTTTTAACAGTACCCATCTGCTCCAGTTTCCTCTTGGCCATGGCAGGAGCATCAGGTGTGTTCTTGGTTGTAGGAGGGAATATCTTGTATAGGATCAATGGAGTTGCCAGAAGACATATAATTGCAGGTAAGCTGGCAGCCTTGAGCCAAGTAACCCATCGATTTGAAACTTTAACCCCAAGTGCCTCAGCTAATTTGACACATAGCAGGTTTTGAGCGGCTGCAGTCAAGAAAAGATTGCCCGAGTTACTAGCAGCCTATCACACATTAACAAGTGAAATGTATTAGCAATAACAAATATTATCACCACAATGGGAGGATTAATGAAGAAAAAACAACATATGGAATGAAAAATCCAATAGAATCATGCAATGGAAGCCACAAAAATTGGATTAATATGTATTATAGGATCAGATAACAAAACCATTGGATAATTAGTTGATCGATGAACAGGAATAGAATGGCATTTAATATTTTCATTAGACTCAACATACAATATCTTTCTTTTCCTTTTTTTCTCTTCTTTTCTTTATTTAAGTTAAAGAAAGGGCACCTCAAAGCATGTATGAGACGAATCATAGCTCCGAACCTAAGTAAATTAAGCTATGATTAAGCATCATGCACTTCTAGTTGCATAATATTATTGTTCTCTTCATTAACTAGCTAAAATTGGAGCAAATTGAGTTCTAATACCATTAAAAAGCACAGGACAAACCATTTTTGGCAGTGTATCCTCTGAATATTTAATAAACTTTCTAAACTTGAATTAATACCTTTTTGTCAAAATCATGCTTAACTTCCACTTCTTTGTTTTTGGGTAGGAGGGAAAGTAACTAAATTCAATTAGCAATATCAATGAATGATCCAAGATCCAAAGGCTAACCCCAAACACCACCTCAAAAAGGACTCTGACTTCCAGTAATAAATAGATCCTATAGCTCTCAGCCAATTCTCGACATATCCAGACTGAATAAATGACTGACCACAAAAAAAAAAATTTAAAAAGAAAGAATCAAAATAAAGAAGTGCATTTCCTTCGTACAGTGACTTCGCATCTCCCATGTATCTCAAATTTCCCTGTAACGTTAATACATGGTACCTTTTAAAAGTCATCAATGTGGATGGAACAAGTAAAAAGATGGCCTTATCAAGATCAGCTGAAATCAAAATGATAAAATTGTAACTCCCCATAAAGCAGTCAATTCATTCAGCACACAGCTTAATTATACTTAATTACTAGTAGCCACACCGCTCCGTCATCACCCCTACACCCACCCAACCCCAACATTATTGAAAAACATCCATTATTGAGCTAAATTGATTTTTTTAAAAAAATTAAATATGAAGTAGGTAGTTAAGATAGTGAAAATTTCAAAATGGGGGCATTTAAAAAAACATGGTAGAAGTAGTTAAATAGGTCTCACGGAAGTGTTCAGTTGGAGGATGTTATTTAAAAAGTTCAAAATATGAAGGATTTTAGTATTTTGAGATGAAAGGTTTATCAAGCCATTTTCCATGGAATCTGATTGTTATATACACTAGAATAGATGGTCACTGTGTTCATTTTTAATAAATTGTCATAACACCACTTCATCTTCCATAGATTATATGTCTACTATAAATTCAGTTCAACTCAAATGCTGCCTAACCTAAGTGATAAAGGCAGGACTACTGACAGAATGAATCACTGTTCAAATCTCAACATCAGTAGGCGGGGAAAAGAGCTTATCATTGCCAGTAAAAAAAACGCCTATGAGATCCGGTGCACGATACTCTCGCTACAGCATGCAAAAGAGTATTTTTACATCTCTAACTCTTAATGCTCAAGTCACATCTCAGTAGAACAATGTTAC